ATGACACTCCAACCAACTGAGCTACCTGGCCAGAGCTAGACACCTGTTGTTTTTGTTTGCCAAGTATCCATTCTTCTTCTTTAATAACATTTCTATTTTCCATTGAGGAACTATTTTTGCTTCATTGCTGTGGCTCTGAGGCTGGAGTCTTGACCTAGGCTTGGCCAAAGTGAACAGTGCGTCATCTGGCCATAGTGATTACTTTGAGGAAGGCACGTGTATTAGGTCTGGGGATTTTGGTGACATAATTGTGAAAGTGTTGCACTCTGCAAGCCTGCTAAGCTGGAATGATGTAAGTTTGGAGGTGCTGCGGCCCATCTGTGCTGCCACATGGAGACACTGGAGGGAAGGGGGAGAGAGAAAAAAAGAATGAGTGGGAGTGGTGCGTTGTTTGAGGTCCTTGGCCCAGCTCTTTGTAAATGTAATCACACCTGGACCTTCCTGCTAAGAGGAGCCAATAGTTTGTTCCTCTCTCTCTCTTCCTCACCCATGCTTCCTTTCCCCTCCTCTCTCTCTTTCCCTAATTCAGCTTGAATTGGTTTCCTTTCACAGGCAACTCAAGCAATCCCTCCTATAAAGGACAACATTGTGTGGCACGGCCAGTCCAGAGGCGCAGGTAAGTGACAGATGAAAGTGGAGAGCAGAGAAGGAGGCGAGCGAGTCCTGATGCCGTCAGTACAAGATCCTGAGGAACCTTGTCTGCACCCTGGCAGGGGCAGGAAACATTTTGCACAGGGGGAAGTTTTGTTGGCAGCAGGGTTACTGTCAGGGGAGAAGGATGAGTGTGGGAACTTCGGGCGTGTGTACTGGCCGGGGTGGGTAGAGTCATCAGTATGGCTGAAATGCGGCTTTTCAAATGCAGGTAACTTTCAAGCCAGCCTCGGAAGTGAGATCACACAAATCATCAGCAGGCTTGCATGGTGTTTTTATTACTGTTCTTTCTGATGGCTTCTTCTGAATAATTATTACTCTGTAGGCTTTGGAAAATTTCTTTTTACATTTAATATTAGGCTATTTCTCATTTTTATTTTCCCAATTCTCTACCTTTTTATTCCAAAGTTGCTTTCTGACTGTTTAATGGTAAAGATTTGTGAGCAGCTTAAATCAGTTGCTAAACATCAAAGAGCCCGGTGCATACAAAATAAAGATGTGTTGCAGCCGTGAGGGGGTAGCTGCAGCCATGGTTGGAATTTCCACGTCTGTGATAGGAAACCCTCTGCATACAAGGAATGAGAATGTGGTTTCTGTGCGTCTGTTCCCATGCCTAGCGTGGCCCAGATATACCCGACCCCATCCGAGGAAGAAACAAGGGTATTCAGAATGTCGGTGCAGCTGCTGAAAGGTTCGTGATGCCCACATTTTAAAAATAAGACTGTTGAAATCCTAACACTCTCATTCAAAGGTGGGGCCTTTGAGAGGTGATTAGGCAATGAGGGTGAAGCCCTCATGAATGCGATTAGTGCCCTGGTTAAAGGCACCCCAAGGAGCTCTCTTGCCCCCTTCACCTCGTGAGGACTCAGCAAGAAGTGGACCACAACACCCCTCCCCCCTCTTCCCCCTCCCTCCGTGCCTACTGGCCTCCGACCAGAGAGTGACTCTGTTGGTGCCTTGATCTTGGACTTCCCAGCTCCCAGAACTGTGAGAAATAAATACATATATGTGTTGAAACCATCCTGTCTGCTGTATTTTTGTTAGAGCAGCCTGCAAGGACTCAGATACCTAGTGCATTGGCCACTGCCGCTTGTTTGCTGCCCTGGTTCCCACTGGTCTGCGCTCCGCTGTGTGTCTGGGGTGGGCTCTAGGACCCAGCAGGCTGTTTCCCAGTCTCCCTACCAGCTGACTGATTAGGTTCTGCCAAATCGAGGCACTTGGCTGAGTTGGGTTGGGAGGAGAAGGGACCTTTGTCCTGTTTCCAGCTTCAGTCAGCTTTCCTCTAGCCATGGGGGGGCTGCTACCGGCTCAGGGCCCTCCGGCAGTTCCCAAACCTTTAAGGTGGAGCCTGTCTGTTGGTCCTCCCACCGCTAGCGCCGGAGACCCTGAGTGGTCCCAGAACAATGGAGCTCCCACAGGTGCCAGCCCCTCCTCTAAAGTTCAAGGCCACCTTAACACTGCTCCATTCTGTTTTCCCAGGCTACGCAGTGGTGTCAGGGGCTGACCTGTGCTCCTCACCGACTCGCCCTTTCCTATGTTGAAGCCCTAACCCCCAGTACCTCAGAATGGGACTGTATTTAGGGATAGAGTCCTTAGGAGGTAATTAAGTTAAAATGGGGTCTTGAGGGTGGACCATAATTCAATGTGACTCGTGTCCGTAATATGAAGAGGAGGCCAAGGCACAGGCATGGAGGGAACTCGGTCCACCAACCAGGAGAGGCCGCAGCGGAAACCAGCCCTGCCAACACCTTGACCTCGGACTCTGACCTCCAGAACAGTGAGAAAATGCGTTTCTGTTGTTTAAGCCCCCAGTCCAGGGCATTTCACTCGGGTAGCCCTAGCATTCAGTTTCAGGTGGTATCTATTAATCTCTGGGTTAGCCCGCTGTCCCTACTGCGCTTCCTCAGCCCTCTCCATGGGGCCGATTTCCTATAAAACTCCCTCTTTGAAACACCTGGAGGGGTTTGGTTTTCCTAACTAACAAACCTAATAAATATCTTAAGTATCTTAGACCTAAAAACCTTTCGGGAAAACAGACATTGACAAAAGGATGGGATATTTATATTTATATTTATATTTATATTATTTTATGATTTATTCATTAAATATTAAATATTCTAGTTGTGTATATAATTTTAAGAGCTATTAAGAAAAATAAGATGCTCGGTCTTAAAAACCAAACACATATATTTGTGTGTGAATTTCTGTTTTTGTTCTTGACAACTAACCGTAGTCTTCCTTTCTCAGCGAGCATTGAGAGCTTTGCCAGTTATTTCCTCAGTGTGCACAGTGATGAGGTGGTCCTTCCCCTGGCTGTCTACGCACCTTAAGCTTAGTCCCACTTTTATTTGGCAGTGCCTTCAGAGGGCTGGCTGGAGGGACGATGATGTAGCCAGCTGTCACAGACTTCAACCTGTGTGTAAACCTGAAGCCTTGTTAAATGAGGATGATTTTGTCACAGTCTTGCCTACTTGCTGGGATAACTCCCACCAGTTCCTTCAGGACATCCCTCTGGTCTTCTCTAGAAAACTTATCTTCTCTAGAAAACTCTACCTTGCCCCCCCCAAATGTTTTATGGGCTGGGCTCCCCAGGGTGCAGATTTTAAGATAAGGGGGTTTTACTGGGACTGCTCTTGGGAATAACAGCAGAGAAAGAGCAAGGAAAACTGCTGGGGCAGAGGAAGAATTTGACCTGCCGTGCCGCTGCACCAGCATTCTCCACTAACCCTGAGGCTGCAAAACTGACGTAGCACTTTAGGGCGAGCCAGCAAGGGCCCTGGGAAGCACATGATCTCTCTGACGTGAGGCAGCTTCCATGAGAAAGGTCAGAAGTCCCTTTAACATTTCATATAATAAGGGCTTGGTGATGATGAACTCCTTGAATTTGATCTTATCTGAGAAGCACTTTATCTGCCCTTCCATTCTAAATGAAAGCTTTGCTGGATAGATCAATCTTGGATGTAGGTCTTTGGATTTCATGACTTGGAATATTTCTTTCCAGCCCCTTCTTGACTGTAAGGTCTCTTTTGAGAAATCAGCCGACAGTCTGATGGGAACTCCTTTGTAGGTGACTGTCCCCTTATCTCTTGCTGCTTCTAGTATTCTCTCCTTCATTTTAATCTTGGCTAATGTAATGATGATGTGCCTTGGTGTGTTCCTTCTTGGGTCCAACTTCTCTGGGACTCTCTGAGCTTCCTGGATTTCCTGGAAGTCTATTTCCTTTGCCAGATTGGGGAAATTCTCCTTTATTATTTGTTCAAATAAGTTTTCCACACACCTAAACCAAAAGCAAACTAAGAGGACAGCTAGATCAGGAGCAGAACCATAGAAATGAAGATCACATGGAGGGTTAGCAACAGGGGAGTGGGAGGAGGAGAAGGGGGGAGAAGGTACAGAATATAAGTAGCATAGATGGTAGGTAGAAAATAGATAGGGGGGAGGGCAAGAATAGTATGGGAAATATAGAATCTAAAGAACTTGAGACACGTGGTCATAAACTAAAGGGGGGAAATGGTGGGGGAGGGGGTGTGCAGGGTGGAGGGAAATGAAGGGGGGAAATAGAACAACTGTAATGGCATAATTAATAAAATATATATAAAAAAAGAAAGGTCAGAAGGATGGGCCGTGAGCTGTCAGCAGGCAAGGCTTCCAGCAGCTGCAGGGGGAGCGCCTCAGTGTGGAAGGGGGCTGGGGCTGGCACACCATGATGTCCACTGTGGCCAGCCAGGGAAAGTTCTCAGGGATCCCGCGTGTGCATGGTAGTGGATCGTGATAGTGCATTTACACGTCTCTCTGAGACCATGGGCTCCGGGCCCAGGTGCACCTTATTACGTCATTGTTTGCAGCTCCAGCATCCAGTAAAAGCATGGTACATGGTAGGCAGCTGATCAATGTTGAATTTAGTGGAGGAAAGGTATTTGCCTATTTCTCTAGTAGTTGCAGAAGGTAGGAAATTCAGTGTCCTACTGTCCCCCCACGATGGGGTTTAAAATCTCATTTTACGCCCCATTGTGGAGGGCCAGTGTGACTTTGGCTCTAGAGTGAAAACCCTCGAGGAGGCTTTTTGGGCAAAGCAGAAGGCCTGAAACGGTGCCGGATGAACTGATCGTAAACAGCAACCGAGAAACTGTTGAGAAGGACTCTGTCCAGGACCACTGGGCAGCGATGGCCGCACGGGCCCTGGGCTTTGTTCTCGCGTCAGCCACTGCTATTCATGGGCTGGAGTCGGGGGCTGCCATCTGTTGCCGCTTCTGCCTGGACGCCTCCGCCACCAGCAGGCCCCACCTTCTGCAGGCTGCTGACCCACCGCCAGAGTCAGGCTAGAGAAAGAGTGGAAAGGTGGCAACATCAACAGGAAATAAAACATTTTTATTGAATATCCGGGTAATATGTTATTTTAACAACAATCGAAACTACTGTGGAATTCACTACACGAAGTGAAACGAAATTTAAACCACCTCATCAAAAATGAAGGTAAAATACAGCTAAAGTAGTTGGCTCGCAGGTCACGAGTCATATGGCAGAAGGAAACACTCCAACATTTCTACAGGATACAGAGAAAACCCACACAAAGAAACACCCAAGCAGGCAGTAAATATACACAAAGGCAACTAGGATCTTTCTAGAGCATCAGATGCTAATACTTTACACAGCTTTGTCAGAAAGGTACGAGTGGCTTGTCTGAGGATGAGTCTTGGTCTTAAAGCAGGTTCAGTCACTGACTCATGAGAGATGGTGTAGTACCAACTAATCCTATGGTGACAATATCCCATGTCTGGCAGTGTTGCAAGAGGATGCATTAGTAGTACTTTAATGCAAGAAATAGCATGTCTTCCACAGCTCAGACCTGCTTGTTTAAAGTGTTGTTTCAGTGTAAACTTAAAGCCGACTACAGAAAAATTAAATGTCAGTTTCTGGTACTTCGGGAATTTTTACAGGTCAGTCAACTCCCTGTCTCTGGTATGGCTTGGTCCTTTTCAATGGAAAGATTCTCATTTGACTCTTCTGTTCAAACCGATACCTAATCTGATGTCATGACTTGTGCATTTTCTAGTATCTTTTTTTTTTTGTAAAGTATGGACCATCCACAGAAGAGGGAGATGTTATTCTTTTGTCCTTTGTGCAAGTCCCAGTTCTAGAGTTCATCCTGGGCTGAAAGGTCAAAGGGCATGCCTCTTGTCTGATGAGGAAGGAATGATGACAGGAATCTTAGTTTTACTAGGAAATAGCTAACCTCATGTTCAAAGTCTCCCACCAGCCCTTTATGAAATCTTTTTGAGTTGTTAAAAAAATGTGGCATGATACCCTCACGTCTGAACACGAAGCTAGTGCTTAGTTTTCCTCCATTTGGTTTTCGGATTTGTGAAGGTCAGCATCCGCCTCAGAACTTCCCTACTCCCTGCAGCCTGGGAGTGGAAGTGGGCCACAGAAGGGGGGGGGGGGAGAAGACTTGATGCAGGGTGGTAACAGGCTGCCCTTCCACAGAGTGGCTGTCTGCCCTAGTGGGGAAAATATGGAAGAGTGCACAGTGCTTGACAAAATGCTGTGTGCTCCACCCCATCCTGTGTATCTTCCTCGTCCTATGCATAGCTTTTCAGTTCTGAATTGGTCCTTTGTAATGAGAACTGTTTGTGCTACACACACCTTGGGCAGTGCATTAGAAGGGAATGGCAGTATTGTTTACAATATCACTACGGAATAAACTGAGTGCTATCCACTGAGGAAACTACGTGTCTAAGCACACACGGCAGTCACAGTGTTACACAGAGCAGTCCTTGAAGACTCCTATGGAATGACTAGTAGCTTCATAATAGTGCCATTTACTACATAATAACATTGAAAACATTAAAAACTCCTCCTAAGTCAAGCATCTAGAATACATAAGAGGTTGCTTCAGTTTTCTAGAACTTGTTCTTGGTTTTGTTTCACCTCTTTTTAAAGGACAAATTAAAACTTTTTGAAGTAAAAACAGCATATAAAAAGATCACTAGCTGTCTGTTTTGGCTTAATTGTAGTGCATTCAGAACTATGGCTAATTGTTTACTTTTCATCTTTTGATGGGATTACAATACTGTCTGTTGACCACAAAGTAATTTTGTGCAATAAGCACAGATTACTGTGTTAAAAATATTCTTCTGCATTCCTTCTAATCCGGTTTTGTGTAATAAAATATTTTGTTACAAAGTGTAGTGTGCAAATGTTTTGGAATTGTTAGAGGTGTGAAATCTGGAACAGAATTCACGGGATGCACGTTGTGTATAAAGGTGATCATGGAGAGCTACTTTTTTCTTTTTAAATAGTCAGGCAGTACTTCAGAAATGCTGACTTCTCCCCTCCACTTGCTTCTTCCAACCCACCCCATCCCTAAACAAATGCACACACACAGGTATGTACACGAGCGTGCACACGTGCACACAGATGCACACGGAACACCACCAAGTTGTCACTCCATATGCAGTTGTGTGAGTCCTGGGCTCCTGTTCCGTTGCTCTTCAAACGCTAGAGCAAAGCCCTGACTCAGGCTCTGTCAGTGTGTGCAGACAGATGCTGTTCTGGGCTGTGGCTATGCTTCCTGGACAGCAGCCTGCATGCTGCTCAGATCATGTTAACTTGCCTGTGAAGAAATTCTACAAAATTGGATTCACCCACCAAATATGCGGTGTAAGTGTATCTTGGTACTCAAGTGATTCAATAGAAAGCTCAGGTTTAAGTTGTCCTTTAAGATGTCAGTTTCACTGTACTAGTGCCTTACAAGTTGATATTTTTGCTGGAATGCAGACGATACTATATTTACCATATAATATATTATCAGCTCTCCTATATCTCAGTCAATTTACATAGTTTAAAATAGAACATCTTATTAAAAACATCTAGATATACACAGATTAGGAAATGCTTACAACATACAAATACACAAACTAGAAATAAATCTTCAGCATACTGGTATATACAACTGTGTGATACAATAAATAATTTCAGTCATGCTCTATCTACACATCATATTGCTTAAAAGAAGAGTAGATTTGGAGGGCAGTGGCATGACGAAGGACTCAGGGGCTCTCTACGTTTAAATTTGTGTGCAAATTAAAACAGGATTTGAAGTACCACTGAATTCTGTTAGGAACGCATGGCTGGAAAAATGAAAGGACCCATATTACTGAGGTATTTACAGATACTGGCTAAAGAGCACTATGTGGGCAAATGCAGAAAGGCTTCTTCCCTTTACTTCTTGACTGCCAGCATGGCGTCAACTTCCTCCTCCACCTGTAGGGTGTGCCACTGGGCGATGGGTCGCCTGGGGTTGGCCAGCATGTCTGACCAATGCCGCAGCTCCGCCCCAGTGCTGTTGTAGCCCACAAAGACTTTGCCGATGGCATCGTTCTTGCCGATCTTGTCATAGTCCAAAACAGTTACCACCACTTGCACTTTCTGAAAGAGGACACGAAATAAACATTCATCATTCAGGTCTAGAGATGTCTCCCTGTTACAAAGCTTCCTTGAGATCTAAAATAAGGATCGATTTCCAAACACCAGGACAAGGGTGAAAATGACCTGAATATGAAATTATGTCATCCCTATTTTGCCATTATTACATCATCAGCAGCACCGTTATCATTCTGGTTGTCATCTTCTTCAAAATAATCAGTAAATGTTAATTTTTATTACGGATCTGGCACTGTTCTGTCTTTTACGTAAACTACTCAGTTACTTTTCACAGTAGATACTGTTAATATTGCTATTATATAGATAAGATGATGAAGCTCAGAGAAGTTAGAACACCTGCCTGAGGTCATATAAGCAGTGAATCTTTTGGTTTCCAGGGTCCATTCTGTAAACTACCTGCTCGGCATTATACTCCTCTCTGAATCCTTCTGTTCATATTGCCTCCTGGGGAAATGTCTGACATTGGCACTCAGACCTTTCTTTCTGTGGCTGCAGTTCCCAGAGCACCCATGGACCGTAGTCCCATTTTGGGGGATGAAGAAGAGCCAACATTTTACATAAAACTAATATAACATTTCAGGTAATGATAAAATTGTGGTGAATATAAAATGTGACAGTAGAGTAAAAGTTTTTAAAAAGTAGAAACCAAGTAGAGATCATTTTTTTCCTTCATACATGTTCTTGATAAACATTGGTTGAGTAACTGCTTCTATGTATCTGGCCCTGACATCAAATGGAAATAACCTTCTTGGGCCACATATGATTTGCTTTGGTGATTCCATTACGTTCCATTAATAACTTACTTTTTGAACTGACTGAACTGATGAAAGCAAATGCATACCATTATCATATGAAAGAACTACTTTTTAAAAGCACATTTGAGTTCTGTTTCCTAAGGAATGGATTTGCTGAATCAAAATATGCAATAGCTCCAATATAGAAACTGAGCGCAAAGATAAAGGAAGACTTTAGAGTAAAGTAGAAAGCATAACATTCGGTGGCCAGAGTTACAAAGAGCAGAAAATGCAGTGATAGAAGCCAGAGGCAGACAGAGCTCCAGGGGATTTCTGGCCCTTTAGTAGACTTTGTACTCTGAGGACTGCCTTCTCATACCAGTGTGTGGGGGGAGGTGCCCAGGTGCAGCTTCGGATCAGAGAAAACGATAGCTTCTCCAAGTGAAACTTAGAATGTGTAATGAAACACATTGGCAATAGAGGGAACAAAGTACCGTCTTCTCCTGGGCAGCCTAGGATCGTTTCCATTGTCATGCGAATGACCTACCCCCTGGATGGTGTTTGGAACTGAGCTTGGTTCTAAGGACTTTGCCCACCCAGATTCCTCAGGATGCAGTCACACTGCAGGGAAGGGGGCGGGGCACTGGGGACATTGTGAACAAAGGGAACGAGGGTTTTGGAGGTTGGAGTGAGAGGTTGGAATGAGTTTGATTACTCATCTAGGAGTGCCTTAATTAGTAACACCCAAAACAAAAGTATCCTTATGAAGGCCTTAGGTTGATTTTTCCAGCCGCGTACACTTCTATACATTTTTTTTCAGGAGGTGAGGGGAGGAATGCAACATTTTCATGTACATTTGGAAATGACTATATTGTCTTCTCTCATAGTATATTTTCATAGAAATAAAGACAGAAAGATAACCTTATAACTTCAGGATAAAGGAAACTTAAAGTCCTATTATGGCATGTGAAATGCTCAATTACTTTCTCTAGGGAAATGCAAAGACTAGGAAAGCAGCCTCCTAGGAGGCAAAAAGAAAAGAAAGGGGACATTGACTTAAGGAACGGAGGAGGAGGGAGACAGTCAAGGCGAGAAGGCGCGCTCATTGTGTCCATGCCCGATGTCCTCTCTATGGGGGCTCAGGCTCTCTCTGTCCTGACGAAATGTAATTTCCTCCAAAACGCTGCCCCAGAAACCCAGCGTATGTTTTTTCATGCACTTCACTTTCAATATATCTGCATTTGCTACAATTAGTAGCAAATAGTTGAAAAGAGACACTTATTTTTAAACAGGTATAGAATTGTATCTCACAGGGGAAGGTTTTACAATAGGATTTTCATCCCCATGTTCTGCCTTATGGTGTTTTGTAGAATTAAAAAGCAAAGTGCCAGGTGGTGTGACTATAGCAAGAAGGTCTTAAAACTCAGAAGAGTTCACTGAATGAATGTTGCCAAATACACTGTTGGTGAAAACTGGATGTCTTGGGGGTTTGCCGGGGGGACCCAAGGCAGAGGGCTCCCCTCTGGGTTAGGGGAGCTCCCCACTGGTTAGGACTGGTTAGGAGTGGTGAACAAGGAATTGGGGCCAGGAATCAGAGTCCCCTACAATACCATTTACTTATATAACAGCTGTTGAAATGAAATTATATGTGCACTTTGCTGCCATGTGAAAATGTATATAAGAAAGGTTATAAAAAACACGAACCCATGTGACGACGGTGGGATTATTGATTTTTAAAAACTGCCCTATATCATACATTAGTTACTAGCCATGTGCGGCTGTTTAAACTTAAATAAATTAAAATTAAATAAAGTTCCTTGATCATTCCAGTGACAGAGGCGTTCATGGACCACCTGTGGCTGGTGGCTACCACACTGAAGGACAAGGGTGATAAAATATTCCCATCCTTGCAGAGGGTTCTGTCGGACAGTGCTGATTCATATATTACCTTAACCTTATTGTTAGATCCATTCTAATAAAATGTTAACTCAAAAAAGAGGCAACAATAGCATCATGAATAATAATAATGATGGGAACCATTTACTCAGCCTTCTTATCCACTTGGCACTGTTCCCAGTGTTTTATATGCAGTCTTTGATATGGATTCTCTTATTGCTCCTACTGTACATATGAGGACATTCTAAGCCTCAGTTTCCTTATATATAAAATTGGGATAATATTGGAATCTCTCTTATGAGGTTATTTTAAAGATGAAGTGAGATTATACATATAAAGTGCTTAATTTGGGCTTAGGTACTAGATAAATGTACAATAAATGTAGCTATTTTCTTAGTTTTCTTCATAGAATAGAGTTGTGATTCATTCATAAGATTCTGTTTTCTAAGAATAGATTAAAAGTAAAACTACGCATCTGAAGAATATTTGCTGACCGGTTATTCTGGACTTGTAGAGGGTTCTAAGTTGTTTTGATGCCCACCCTTCATTTCTCTTTCAAATTATGGGCAAGCTTTTATATTATAAGTAGATGGATGCATATCAATTATTTAATAAAAAGTAGTGTTGCTTTAAGCATTTTGACTCTCTGATATCCCTTAAAAATTGGCAAGAAATAACCCATAATTATTGAATGTGAACTTTGGCTTATAAAAGTCTAACTATGGATATAAAGTCAGAAAACCTAAAATAAAAATTAAAGTTAAATCTTATTTAAATTTTTCTAAATAATAAGATCAGGTACTATCATTTTGGCTACATCTAGCAACCTATTTTGACTATGTTAATCACAAAGTTTTTCACTAGAGTTCTTCCTATGATAACAATTATTATCTAGCAAATTAAGGTTCCATTTTTTAACCAAAAATACCCCACCATTCCAACATAGAAACTAGAAGCTAAATTTAAGCAATTAAACATACAACTTAGCCTAATTTTTCTATTGTTAATTGCCTTTGAATAGTAAAGCTTAAATATGCTGCACAGTCAGCATCACCAACGTACTTCTCTTAACTCTGTTTTTTTGCTACAAAGATGTGATGAGAAGAATTACACCTTATGGCCTGGGGGTAAATACTGAAAGCTCATTTGTTCTTGGCCTTTTAATCTTTCCAGATGGACTTTATGGGTTAGTGGAGTTGTTTTGTTGGTGTTCTTGTCCCTACTTTATTGCTGCTTAACAGAATGCTAGCTGTTTTTGGCGGAGTCGACACATCCTGTGATATATGTTTTATCCTTCCCCACTTGACATAGCTTGAGTTTCAAATGTGCATGGGAACAAGAATAGCAGTTCTCGTGAAGGCATGTGCACTGATGATTTACAACGTCTGTGTGTTTAACTGGTGTGGTCTGAAGCAATGAAAATTGAATGGGAAACAAAATAATGTTTGACATTACCTGGATTTGCTCAAAGGGTACTTCAAAGCTGAATGACTCATTGTAGTAGGGGTTGAGTGTATTCTTTTTAATTGTTGTCTTTTTCTTCTTCAGCCTCTTTCCATTTTGCATCAGATGAATCTTCACATAAGGATCTGAAAAACAGAAACAAAAAGTTTAGGAGGTCAGAGACACATATTTTAGATTACGATTTAGCTAATAAAAATACCAAGTAGTCCCAACAGGAAGATAATTGTATTGTAAACGTTTAGTGTTTTTAAAAATTTCATTTTTATTGAAAGATTTTAAGTAACTTGTGGGCCATGTGTTTTTTTTTCTTTTGTCATGGTGTCACCAGTATTTATAGTTGGACTTAGGAGATGAGAGCAGTAGTTTAAACCAGCAATTCAGAAAAAAAAGACGCATAGCATTTGCTAATGTCCATGGTATAAACTCTCAGCATAGCTGATTTCAAGGTATGAACAGTTTAACAACTAAATTTCTGAACATTTAACAACTGGCTCCTGTGTGCTGGCCCAGAACTGGTTGCAGTATACCAGTCTATGGGATTAACTTTTGATAGAGGACAAAGGAGACATTTCATTTATTCAATTATTTATTTTCTCCACCAATGTGGGTGAGGCCTTAGGGACAGAGTATTGAACAAAATAGACCATCCCTGTTCTCATGATGGAACTTCAGACTTGTGGGGGACATAGACAGTAGGCTTGTAAGGAAAAGAAATACATAGGAAATTACAAGTTGAGAAGAGTGCTCTGGAGAAAAAGAATAGCGTAGAGATATGACAGGGACTACCAGGGTTGTTAGTAAGTGAGTCTAAGGTAGGAATGGAAGTCTTAGTTTACTCTAGTGAGGTCCCTCTGGGAGGCGACATTTCAGCTGAGACAGGAAGCTTGAAGGGTGAGAAGAGGCTGTGTGTGTGTGTGTGTGTGTGTGTGTGTGTGAGAGAGAGAGAGAGAGAGAGAGAGAGAGAAGAGCTTCAAGGGTTCAGGGAAGAGAGAATAACCCAGAACACACAGAAGTAGTGAAAAAAAGGAGCAGAAAAATCCTTAGCAATTTCCCAAAGGCCTTATTAGGTAAAGTAAAAAGTAAGTCGCCGAAGGGGTGAGACAATCTCTGTTTAGAGTTCTCATTATTAATGGTTAAATGACATACTTTTAAGTCACCAGGAATGTATGATAAGAAAAATCTACTCTTAATTTTTTTTACTTCATGTGTCACACATGTTCATTGTAGAAAAATATATCAGAAAGCACTGATAAAAAAAGGGAAACCTAAATCACCCATGATTTTATTCCCCTAACCACTGCTAAGCCTTCCAAAATTTCTTTCCTCTCTTTCAAAACATGTACAGCTGGGAGGGACTTCACAGATAATCTAGTCTACCCACAGATTTTTTAGAAGATAAAACGGCAGACCAAAAAATGTGGCCCTTATCTCCCCCTTCTTAGCTCCAGTAGGAAATAACTCCCGAAGAACAGACACTGGGTCCGCCATAGTCACTAACTGAATTTACTAAACAGTACCTGGCATGATTCAGTTTTTGTGGAATAAATTCGTGGAACTTCTTTAGGATCTCAGAATCTGGGTCTCCTTCCTCTCAGTCCTGTCTTCTTCCCATTGTCCCAAAGCTAACATTACTTAGGTTTGTTTGTTGGTTTGTAGTTTTTACTACAACCATACTACAACAATACTACATCCCATCAAGAAGGTTTTCATCAAAATCTACTCTTAGTAGCTTTCAGGTGTAGAATATAGCATTGCCGACTGCAGTCACCATGCTGTGCATTAGTTAGATCCCCAGACCTTACTCATCTATTGCTGGAAGTCATACTGTGTGACCAATACGTCCTCACTTCCCTCACTGCCCCCAGCTTTTAGCAACCACCATCTACTCTCTTTCTGTGAATTTTGCCTTTTTTATAGATTCTGGACATAAGTGAGATAATGCAGTATTGTTTCTCTCTGACTTATTTTACTCAACCTGAAGCTTTGAATATCCATCCATGCGGTTGCAACTGGCAAGGTTTCCTTATCTTTTGTGTCTGAATAATATACTATTGTGCGTGTGTGTGTGTATACATATATCACATTTTCTTTATCCATTTAGTTGCTGATGGACACAGAGGTTTTTTCTCTGTTTTGGCTATTGTGAATAATATTGCAGTAAACATGGTGATGCAGATATATATATATATATATTTTTAAGTATATTTTATTGATTATGCTATTACAGTTGTCCCATGTTTTTTGTCCCTTTATCCCCCTCTGCCCTGCATCCCCTTCCCTCCAGCATCCCACTTTCTTACTTAATGTTCACGGGTTGTACATATAAGTTCTTTGGCTTCTACATTTCCTATACTATTACTAACCTCCCCCTGTGAGTTTTGTACCCACTATTTATGCTTCTTATTCTCTGTTCTTTTTCCCCGATTCACCCTCTCCACTCTGCTGATAACCCTCCATGTGATCTTCATTTCTGTGATTCTGTTTCTGTTCTAGTTGTTTGCTTAGTTTTTGTTTGTTTTTTAGGTTCAATTGTCAATAGTTGTGAGTTTCTTATTATTTTACTGTATATAGTTTTTGATCTTCTTTTCTTATATAATTTCCCTTAATATTTCATATAATAAGGGCTTGGTGATGATGAACTCCTTTAACTTGACCTTATCTGGGAAGCAATTTATCTGCCCTTCCATTTTAAATGATAGCTTTGCTGGATAAAGTAGGTCCTTGACTTTTATGACTTGGAATACTTCTTTCCAGCCCCTTCTTGCCTACAAGGTTTCTTTTGAGAAATCAGCTGATAGTCTTATGGAAACTTCTTTGGAGGTAACTGTCTCTTTTCCTCTTGCTGCTTTTAAAATTCTCTCCTCATCTTTGATCTTGGGTAACTTAATGATGATGTGCCTTGGTGTGTTCCTCTTTGGGTCCAATTTCTTTGGGACTCTGTGGGCTTCCTGGACTTCCTGGAAGTCTATTTCCTTCACCAGATTGGGGAAATTTTCCTTTATTATTTTTTCAAGTAAGTTTTCAATTTCTTGCTCTTCCTTTTCTCCCTCTAGCACCTCTATGACTTGGATGTGGGAATGTTGAAAGTTGTCCCTCTTTGAAAGAGGTTCCTCAGCCTCTCCTCATTTTTCTGAGTTCCTGTTTCTTCATTCCGTACTGGTTGAATATTTATTTCTTCGTTTTTTTCCAAATTGTTTATTTGAGTCCTGGTTTCCTTCACTGTTGGTGCCCTGTATATTTTGCTTTATTTCACTTTGTGTAGCCTTCATTTCTTCCTTCATTTTGTGACTGATCTCAATAATTTCTGTGAGCATCCTGATTACCAGTGTTTTGAACTCTCCTTCTGTTAGGTTGGCTATTTCCTCATTGCTTAGTTTTTTTTTCCTGTAGTTTTGATCTGTTCTTTCATTTGGGCCACATTTCTTTGTCTTGGCACACTTGTTATGTTGTAAGAGGCAGAGCGTTAGGTATTCACTAGGGCGAGGCAACCCACTTTGCCTGGTTTTGCACAGTCTGGATGAATGATTCTTCTTTAACTCCTTGGTTGTCAGACTTCCATGCAGTTTGATTTTGGGGCAGTTCTGGTTGTTTTTTGTTTCTAATTGGTTGTTATTGTTCTTTTGGTTGTGTGAGGAAGTGAAGCATTTCTACCTATGCCTCCATCTTGGCCAGAACTCCAGATATCTTTTTAAAAAGATGGCTGGATACCTTCTGGACAGGCCTCGTATACCCAGAAGTGGAATTGCTGGGTCACATGGTCCTTTTATTAATTTTTAAGGAACCTCTGTACTGTTTTCCCTAGTGACTGCACCGATTTACATTCCTACCAATAGTGCACAAGGGTTCCCTTTTCTCCACACCCTTGCAAGTGCTCATTATCTCTTATCTTTTTGATGATAGCCATTCTGACAGATGTGAGGTGATATCTCATATGGCTTTGATTTGCATTTCCCTGATGATTAGTGGTTTTGAGCATCTTTGCATGTGTTTGTTGGCCATTTGTATGTCTTCTCAGGAAAGATATCTATTCGGATCCTCTGCCTATTTTAAAAAATTGGATTCTTTACTTTAATTTTCTCCCTTTTTTTGTGCTCTTGAGATATGTGAGTTATTTATACATTTTAGATATTAACTTCTTATCTGATATATTCTTTGCAAATATTTTCTCCCATTCCAAGTATGTTAGAGATCTTCTTCTCTATGAACTTTTGTGCCTGGGTAAGTCTTGACTGTGTAAGTCTGATATGTTATGTATCCGAGGTGGGTGCATTTACACATTTTCTTTGTCTAGGTGTCCGCGGTATTTAATTCATTCTCCACCTTCTCCTGTCTTATATTTTGATCTGCTCCTTGATTTCCTAAGAGTCATCTGGTTCTTTCATTGCACTGATGTCTTGTCCTGAATTTGGGTCCCTTTGGAGATGGCCCCAATCTTTGGTTAGTTCATTAGTAACTTCTTCTGGGATCTGGACCTGGCTCCTGGCTCCCTAACTATGGCAGAGACTTCCAAAGGGAAACATACCCACTGTCTATGCGTCATGCCCATGATTTAACGACACGCATTTCACAGTGAGGACCATCTCTTCTGCAAAGCAGGAGTCTGTACAATCAAATTTGTTCTGCTTTAGGGGCTATTCCACAAACCAAATCTTTGTCAATTCAGAGTTTCTTGGTGGTGTAGAAGTCCTGGTCATTGCATAACTGGACATAATTTCATGGAAATAATATAACAGGCTATAATGAGACTAATTAATGTTGCTTTTGCTCTTCCTGAGCCCAATTGATGAGCACAATGTGTGGCATTTAAACTTCCTTTAGGTTTTATACACATGTAAAGAGCATGAGGAAAGATGCAAACTACAAAACCGGGGTACCGTCCTCTTGGGTTTTGTCTCTATGGCTGAATCCCTGTTCATCATCAAGGTACTGATAACTTCGTTCACACCACAGATAATTTCTGTTGCTTGTGAAACAATAGCAAGACTTGGGACACTTTGCTTCTTTTAGGTGTTTAATTTGTCTTTAAAAAGGGTTAGGACCTTTTTGATTTCTCTAGCTTTATAAAAAGGAAGGTCTCTTTTCTGATGCTTGTGTACTCTCTAATAGAATGTGACTAATGATGGAA